CACGTAATTTGCACGAACATACAACGTCGAGTTCTTAGAATTAGATTTAGACGCTTTATCGCGACGAATTCGTTGTACGAAAATTGACACGTATGTGGGACTGCGTGTGTCATAGGCTGCGTGAGATATTGCTGTGGTAGTATAAAAAGACATGTCGATGTGCGGCGCGCGGCAGTCATAGGCTGCGTGAGATATTGCTGTGGAAGTATAAAAAGACATGTCGATGTGCGGCGCGCGGCGCGACATCTAGTGATTTTGTTTGAGTTCGAGCTTTGCTTTAGGATCCCCTTAAAGGGATGCTAGATCAACGGCCGAACTTGATCGAAGTCGACAGACTTTTTTACATTCCAAATTCGATAATAGTGACATCTTTCATTCATTTCTTATACTTATATTTTGCTTTAGGATCCCCTTAAGGCGATGCTAAAGCTCCCTGTTTTACCACATTCCTATTCGGTGAAAAATCTCTAATAATAGTGACATCTTTCATTCATTTCTTATACTTATTATATATCGTTATGTCTCGCTCAAACGCATTTATCTGTCCTTACCTAACATATTACAACGCTATCTCTTAAAAGGAGATCAATTAAAATACTGCTCGGTTTCATGGCTTCACGTCAATTTCACTCGTAATATACAAATGAAATTTTCGGCGACTCTTTTCTCTTATACCAAAGCCGCTACCTCGTTTCTAAAAGCATAGGATTGTCCTTCAAGGTTTTCTGTAGGCTGCTGGCTACTTATTTTAAACGGGTAAAATCTGAAATTCTTATATGCAGTATATATTGTGACGAGTTGACTGCAGGAGCCGGTGGCAAAACTACAATTTTTAATTTTCTTTCATATTAAATTGTAGCTGGCAGCCTGTGTTGATACTTTAATTGTAGAGAAGGACTTTTCAATCCATAAACATAATTAAGAGAATAGAGTCTTTAAAAATTAATGGTAAAACAGGACACACCAGCATCCCCTTAAAGTATCGACAACAACACAGACTACCAGCTACAATTTAATACGAAAAATGAAAGATAATTAAGAATTGTAGTTTTGTCACCGCGGCTTCTGCAGTCAACTCGTCACAATATGTGCTGCATATAAGAGTTTCAGATTTTACACGGTTAAAATAAGTAGCCAGCAGCGTACAGAAAACCTCGAAGAATAACCCTATGCTTTTAGAAACGAGATAGGGGCTTTAGTATAAGAGAAAAGAGTCGCCGAAAATTTCGTTTGTATACTACGAGTGAAATTGACATGAAGCCATGAAACCAAATAGTATTTTAGTTGATCTCTTTCTAAGAAATGGCGTTGCAATACATATGTTAGATAGGGACAGATGAATGCGTTTGAGCGAGACACAATGATACATAATAAGTATAAGAAATGAATGAAAGATGTCACTATTATCGAATTTGGAATTAAAAAAATTCTGTATCGGTCTTGATTAAGTTCGATCGTCATTCCACCATCTCCTTAAGAGTATTAATTCTGTGTAATATCACACGCGTGTCACTACCGGACATCGAATATGGATGGACGATAATATATTGAGTTACTGTTCTCCTTTATAATAAATATTTAGTAGATTAATTATGCAATTGATTATACAAGTGAAAAAGTACCTAAATTAGATTAATTATATCACTTTATTGGTACAGATAAAAGTTTTATTACAGGCAACAAAATCGAAAAAGGAGAATACCATAATAAACTTGAAAATGATTAGAGAATCTAAAACTAGAACCATAAATGAGAAACAATAACATAAGAGAATCTGCCTTATATTTAATTGTCAACTAATGACAAAGAAAAAAATTAACATACGCAATATATTCATTTATATCTATATTTTTTATATTAATCTTAATGCATGAATTCTATAACAATATTCGGTAATTATTCAGAATAGGGGAGGCAGCTCCGATGACTGTGACCATGACATATGTTGTCAAGGTCATGACCCTGAGTGACCTCCAACAAATTTTAGCCGTCGCTGGTCCTTCGTTAAAAAGTTATTAACAAAAAAAGTTTGAAAAATAACGTATTTCTGCTATGTATGCAATATTAAATACTATTCTACATAGGTTTTGACTTTCAACATGAAGCAACTTTCACCCTCCTTCCCCGTGCTTCAGGGGAATAATGCAAATGTTAATTAACAGTGTTCTTTTGTATATATTTTGACTTATTCTTTTAATTAAATCACATGGAAGTCGTAAGCCCCGAAGCAGAGAGGAAGGAAGGTGAGAATCGGAGATGCGAATTGCGCGCCCTTGAAGCAGGGGGAGGGGCGGGGGTGAGAGCCGTGCGATCTTGAAGCAGGGGAGAGGGGAGTGAGAGTCGAAGATAAGAGTCGTGCGCCCCTGAAGCAGGGGAGAGGGGGGAGGTGAGAATCGTAGGTGAGAGTCGTGCGCCCTTGAAGTAGGGAGGGGGGTGAGAGTCGGAGGTGAGAGTCGTGCGCCCTTGAAGCAGGGGGGGGGGGGGGGAATC